TGTTGGAGTCATAGCTGTTCTTCATCAGGGAACCCTCTGCAGGTCTTCCCTTTCTGCCCACCATGGCCATCTTTCTTTTCCTTCGCTTGTCTCTAACCCCAACAGCAACGGATCCAAATCTCCTGGTGTGTGGAAGGCCATCCAGCATCCACCACCGAATGAGAGGTCTAACTCTCTGCAAGGTGGGGGAGATGTCGCTTGTCCAATATACTTTTTATATATTGAGCTCGGTGGCAGTACTTTAAACGAGTCAGGTGAGAGTCACTGTGATTCAACTTCAAACTTCTTCACTGAACGAGTGGTCAGGCCTTGGAACAGGCTGCCCAGGGAAGTGGTGGAGTCACCATCCCTGGAAGTATTTAAAAGACGTGTAGATGAGGCGCTTAGGGACATGGTTTAGTGGGCATGGTGGTGTTGGGTTGACGGTTGGGCTCGATGATCTTAGAGGTCTTTTCCAACCTTAATGATTCTATGATTCTATGATTCAAGTGGATTAAGGGTCTAATCCTTTGACAGGTATATTGTGTTCATCTACTTTCTCATCATTAATGATTTTTAAGAAGTTACACAGCAAAATTGTCCTCTATACATCACCCAAATTTAATGTTAAAAACCAAATTCTCCGCATCATTTGAAAGCAACCTGGACTGGCAACTTGCAAACTCAAAGCAACCTAAAGCATTTCAGGGCTTTCCAGCTTCTCACGTGGCTCTTCAGAAACCATGCTCAGCTCCATGCTGCCTGGCTACAGGTCCTTCAATACCTGCCCAGTTCAGCTACATTCAAATTTGTCTTTTCAAATGGCAATCATAGCCTGACTGGAGCATACACCTACGTATGGAGCAGTTTAATATTGCCCTCAGACGGATACAGAGATCAGAATTACAAAAGTATGTGCATAAGCATCAAAAGACGCAAAGCATCAGCCAGTAAGGAGAGTTGCACCTAACTTGCTCGTATGCTTTTAGAAACCTCAGAGGATTACATCTTTCAAAGCACTTGATCAGCCTCATGATTATATTTGAGTCCTTGCAGGTGCCAGCAATGGCATTATAGATCCTGCACAGCCAAGGCGAGAGAAAAACCCCACCCCTGAGTGACAGATGCCACAACCTGAGGACTCTATGTTTACTTGCATAATTGATCATATCACATATGCACAAAATGCTTTCAATTCCCCAGAAAATTAATGCATTTTAAGATCTGGACTAAACCCTGGATACAAAGCCAACTTCATTAATGACTGTCACTCTGGGAGAAGGAATGTCAGCTCAGGGCAATGCCACACTGGGATCCCCCCCAGCATTACAGCTATTTCATGTCTGCCCTGGATGGTCTCTGGCAGGCAGTGTTTTCCCACGTTTATGACCTTTTAAGCATAGAAATGGAGCCAAGAAACCCTTAATGCCCACGTGAGATGCTTCCTGCGTAGCGCTTGTCTCTCCAAGAGAAGGCACGTGCTTCAGGCTCTGGTCTAACGCAACCAGTATTACCTGACCTTCAGCTCCTGGGATGCAGGGATCTGGCACACATTAACCAGTGTGTGTCCCTAACAGGGTGTGAGGATAAAAGCTGAAGCCAAACAGATGGTCCTCTAAAAATCTTCCCTAAAGTGTTCTGTGTGCTAAAACATCACTTACCCAACTTTCATCAAACTTGGCTTGATTTGCAAGTCTCAAGCCAAGTTTGAAGAAAAATATTCAGCTGGAAACATGTGGGGAAAGAAGTCTTTTTCCTGCACTCGAATAATATAAAAATGAAACAATTTTGTTCAAACCTTTGAAAAATTTAGGAAAAATAGAACCCAACCCTCTTGGGTTTAAACCAAGCACTGGGGAAAAAAAATCAACACAGAATGCAAAGTGATGAACAAATGAAAGAGAGAAGTGGAAAGAGAACTGGAGCTATAATGTATAATGACCTATCAACACATTCTATAATGCACACAAAATTTCAGCGAAGACGGAAATCACATCTGCACGGAATATGGGCAGCTATTGTTTGAAAGCAGAGAGCAACGTTGCACAACACTTCAGGGTCCTGATTTCGCTGCCACACGCCTACAATACGGTTACTCATCAGTAGTCCTGACTAGCAACAACTGGATACTCAAAATAGTAGCCACTAATTTTAGCAGCGTGTTCAGGATTAGCAATGGAATATTATATCCAGTTAATAAAAGAATTTAACCGGGCACCATTAAAATATTCCAACTGAAAGTGATCTAAATTCTCTGAATTCAACAAAAGATGCCAGGAGAAATGTTAATAACCACTAACTAGATGAACAGCATCGTACAGTTGCAAAAACATACAGGCATTTCCATAGTAACTTCTCTTAAGTATACATATTTTATTTTTTAAATGTGCTTTGCTATATAATGTGTTTGCATGAGCATATGCATCTTTTTAAACAAGAAAGAAGCAGTAGCATTTCTGAAATAGTACTACCGCAATGAGATCCTGGTCTTGGTCTCTTACAACTTCAACTTGGGGTGGGGAGGGCAGGGAGAAAATCGATCTGCCCAGTAAATGATAGGTTCTCTCCAGAAACAAAACACTACATCTATACTTAGGGAAAGCCAAATTCTTTAAATATAATTTGATTACATGTCTGATTTTAAAATTGGATTTTTCCTACCATTAATTTGAACTGTCATTCTTAGGAAGTACCTAAATCGTTAGATGTCCTTGAAAAAGTACACCCTAACTGTATTAAAGTAAAACCAGGTTATAGCTAAGTAACTTTTTTTTCTTTTTTCTTCTCAGTAAATGTAATTTTATTGCTGCTGGTGAACAGGCCTGCGTGTTTGTGCGATTAGACAGTGTGACTAGTTTCAGCTTTTTTGCTTCTGCTCTGCACAGCGTACTGCATAGATGGCCCTCAACGAGAAAGTAATTAGCTTAATAATAATTCCTGACAGATTCTGAATGAGATATTCCAACAGATATTGCACTGACTCCTGGGGTAAATAAAAGGACAGTTTTATCTTCAAGATGGGAAAGAAAGAATAAGCTGCACTAAATGACTAGTGTGGTTTCTCGGGGACTAATTGTTAAGCAGGAGTATTTACGATCAAAGGGTTAGAGAATGGGGCTATCATTGCGAGGCAATTATCTATACACAAATAACTTTAATACTTTGGCATTTTTATAACCACTATCTTATTTATTTCACTATATATTCTATTGCAATACCATTCCCCTGGTTACAAGTACACAGTACTTCATATTTTTTACTTCGTAGAAAATTAAAATAAAACGGAGGAATACTTTGAAGTGAGTTGAAGAACAATAGGTCCTATTTAACCATCAAATACAACAGTATTTAACTTTTGTGCGTTTGATCAATATTTACGTGACAAGCTATTCATTACTCTTCTCCTCTACCAATTTAATGCTGTTGTTCTTCCCACAGCTGATCTGCACTTTTGTGTTATAACAGTTTCCATGGAAAAGAAGCATTCAAAGAAAAAAAGTGCTGATACAGCACGTGGATTTTTCTACCAAACCACAAATCTTTTCTAGTGTTCATCTTAAACTGAAAGCAATTCTGGGAAACAAATTAATGATATAAATCACATTATCATTACTCACATAAAGACACTCTGGTTTAAGTCTTTCAGAAAGTTACAGTGAGTAGCTAGAAGGACTCTATATGGAGAACGCCTGTTTCTAATTAAATGATCTAAAAATAGAGTTGCACATACATCTAGGACCAAGCCATCTGTGTTATCTCCCTAAGATAAGCTATTATACACCCACAATGATATCCCTTTCATCACTGCAGATACTCAAAACTAGGACTGGCCCTTCTTTCCCATTTAGGAAGGGAAAAAGAAGAAGGAAGCAAAATTTTAAACCAGACAAGATTTTTTGAAGGTCAGATCCTTGTTTTGAAATCTCTTTTCACACCTACTTCTGTCAATCAGCAGCATGATTCAAAACCGTGTCCCACAAACGGTGGCAGTCTTTTAAAGTAGGATTTCTCCATGAAACACTTTCCCAATGCAGTAGAGAAAGCTGTTTGTAATGGGCTGTCTGGGCTGTTTGCATTGTTTGCGTGTGATGTTTTTTGCTCGGGTTTTTTCTTCCTTTTTTTTTTTTTTTGTGGTTTGTTTTTTTTTCCTCAACTATTTAAAAATTTAACTTTTTTCTCCGCATTCTGACAATTAAAAGAACAATATAAAAAGTAAGCTGGAACAAAACTGGACCTGAGTTAAAAAGGTTGGGTAAGAGATTCCCATGACATCTTTGGTGACAATAAACAACAACAACCTGTCTTCATACTTCAAGCAGGAGACCAAGGAGACAGAAAACAGCCCTTTTCTCTGAAAAACAGCTACCCATATTATCAGCTAATGTCTGAGGGGAGAAAAAGGAGGAAAGCTTATCGGGGCCTGTCAAGGGGGGGGAACAATCCCTGCTTAGTCAGAGCAGTGAGAGATTATCCCCTCGCTAGGCACAGGGAAAGCGGAGCGTGAAGGGAGACTCGCCCCCGACGCCCTCCGCAGTCCATGGGACGGCACTGGGGGACCATCTCCCATGACGGGCTCCAGGTAATGCCTCAGGCGGCATTCAACGAAGCCATATTATTTACACCTTTCCTTAAAGTTCTTGCCGTCAGACTGTATTTAATCAAACGAACGTGTTTGTCGTATTTGCCCCTCCCTCTGTTTTTGGGGCTGTTTTGCTGTTGTATGATATAATCTGAAGCAATGTATGCTAACCTCTTTAAAAAAAACTATTTCACTTCAAGCTTCCATTTCTGCCATCAGAAATAAGAATGACACTTTACAATAAAAAAGTATTCATTTCAACCAAAGACCTTACCCATTTTCGTACATTAGGTAAGTAACTGTTTTAGACAGCAGACTCTCTACAAAAATATAAAAAATATGCTTATAACAGATATGATGAAAAAAGTGCATTTACTTTCCCCTACAGCCTTCCAGTTGTTATACATCTTACAATAAAATAATAGGCAAAATGAAGACTAACCTTTGAATAAATGCCATTTACTGGTCTCCACTGTTCTCCATTCAAAAGGAAGGGAACTGTTATCTCATAATCTTTTGACTGGTCCTTTGGCATCTGCTGTCTTGAGGACTCCAATTTGCTGTCCACATTCTCACCTAGGGACAGGGAGAAGCGCTTCATGTTAGTCGGGAACAGCATCTGACAACATGAACCTTGTTATTTAAGGGACCTGGCAGCATATTTCAAAAGGAAATAATTCAGGAAAAGAATTATACATTAAAACATCGTAGGGTCATACTGTCAGTGTTGAAACCTACACACATTTCTGAGAGCTGGGGTTCTAGGAGAGAAGTGTGGAGGTGATTTCCAGTGCTGATTAGAGGGTGCATTTAGCAGCAGAAGGCAAAGACTGTACATGAGGAGTAGCGATACCAGGATGCAAAGATAAGGAGTTGGGATGCAAGACTTAAATAAAAAAATTTGGAGAGGTATTGGCACCACTATTTAAAGTGTTACATTAATAATCACACTAGGTTTTTTTTTTTTCCGTCGAAGATGATAGCGGGGGGATGCAGTAGGTGGCTGTCTTCTCAGTGTCATCATTAAGAGGGTAAGCAAGCTGCAGGGATTTAGGAGAGATAAGATTTTATCAGGACTATTTTTCCATAATTAAGGTAAGAAATTAGCCTTGATCATTCCACTCCCCGATCCCTCTTCTCCCCATCCCTCTTCCCAGACACAGTCGCACTGGATCAGATTCAAATCAGTGGTGGTAGGAGGGGGGACAGTGCCCCTGGGCGTGTAACTGCAGCCCTACCCTCCGGGGTGAACAAACCCTGCGGTTGTATGACACAGCCTCCCTAAGGGCAGCCAGTCATCCCAGATTTTCCTTTATGTCCTTCCCATTTCTGCGGTGGGGTCAGCTGGTCCTCACGCTTTGCAAGTTGGAGCCACAGCATAGGTGTAACAACCCGGTTTGGGGTTCCTGAAAGCTCCAGGTTTTTGTACACAGCAGATTTACCAGGTTTAATCCTCAGTATTTTATTATCCCCCAAACGCTTCTTAATGCGCCATCTTACTCCGCTAGACATGGAAATGTACAGTTGTACTCCATTTTAACAAGTCTGCACTATGTACAACAAAAGACTGAATATTTACTTAGCAGCCTCAGCATTTCTATATGAACATGCAAGGAGGTCACGAAGTACTGAGGACCCCGTAACATCAAGGATGCACGTTCTCATTAGTGGGAAAAAAAGAAGTCTGGAAGAGAATAATGAAACAAAGCTCTACTCCTACACAGTCAGATGTCTTCAATTCATACTACAATGTCAAAAAGCTATTTGCATGCAACATTTATCAAGTGTTTTTCCTCTCACTAAACATACTAATGGTATCGTGCCTGTCAAAGCAGAGTCCTAAAAAACAGTACCATAGTACAAGAGCTGGAAATGGTATTGAGAATAAATCTTAAAGAGAAGATAGGGATGGCTTCCAGGTGCCGTGGGACAGTGAAAACGCTAGTGGGGTTTGCCACACTCTTGACCTACCATCACACTCAGCCCTCTGGTGCACTTGGACCCCCGAGGACGAGACCTGAGTCTTCGCAGGTGCTCTAGAAATGTGTCCATCCTCCATTAAGATGGAGAAAGGCCAGCGTTACCGGTCTTCCTCTTCCCCCCCATCGCCTTTGAGCTAGGAGGTGCAGAGGGAAGGTGATGGAGCCGTGTTTTAGCAGCTCAACCCCGGCTCAGGGCTGAACCATTTTATGGGAGTGAGAGGAGAGCTGTAGGGTCAGATCTGCCCACACAGCCCAGTGCTCAGTACCACCATCCCAGCAACCTGACCTGGCCTCTCTGGTCACCTAACACTCTCTGAGGATCAAGAGCTATGTTTTGGGCAGAACGAGCCCAATTTAGGCACTGTTAGAATTAGCTTAAAAACATCTACGCAGTCATTAGCGTTAAGCTGAAGTGAGAGGAAGGCAAATCCAGTATTTTCCATCATGCTTTTAAAAATACGACACTTTCCCTAAAACACCAAAAAAAAGACTAAAATAAAAAGTATATTGGGGAGAGGAAAGTTGCTTTTTATACAGGTGTTCCTGTAGAGAAAGGGTTCTCACCCCATCCTCAGCGGAGCCCAAGCCCAAGTGACAGGGCTCTGGGAGCACCAGCCCTTGGAAGGGATGCTCCGAACCCCACGAACGATTGGGTTCACCCTGCGGAGGCATACGAGATACCATCTCATCTGAGATGAGATACCATCTCATCTGCCTAGGAGGGTCTAGACAGAACCTCACAGCTCTTTATTCTGATTATCAGGCATGAAGCTCCCTGCACAGAACAGAAATTTATGAAGCATATCTCAGAGAAATGAGAAAAGTTTGGCTCTAGCCCTGTTTTTTTTTTTTTCCTTGGCTCACTAGAGCAGTCTCAACTATATGAATTAAATGACTCAGGCCCTTCTATTATTTTGTAGGATTAGCACTCTGAAAGTTTCATGAAATCTAAATTTTAAGAAACCCTATGAGCATACTTCTCCTCCCATGGAAGGAAGCTCCCGTGGAGCTGCAGCTAGGTATCAGGAAGCATCAACATCTTTCTGGTACTCCTACATGTGCAAGTTATTTCGTATTAATTCTGCAAAGCATTAACATCACAACATTACCCGAAAGAGAAGAAAAAGGAGAGCATTTGGGCACAGATGTATTATTCCCTCATTACATGACGTGGTCCAGAAAGTGCAACCGCTATAAAAGTATCACGGGAAAAGGGAACAGTATCTACACAAAGTGTCGTTCAATTTTGCCACTCCTATTCTATCATGACAAAGTGATGCTTGTGGTGCATAACAAAGTAAGGTTACAATGAGCAAATTTAATCTTACACACATGCTTATTTATCTGCACATTGAAAATGCATATTGTGCAGAAGCGTTGATAGTCTGGAGACAGACATCAAGACAGGTTTATAGGCAGCAGTTATATCTTTATTGGAAAAGATAATTTATTTGGGGGAAACAAAACAGACAAGCTTTAGGGTTTGCAAACTCTTCTGAAGCCATAGCGTTTATAAAACACAAGATCAATTTCTGTCTAGTTGCTTTCCTTCTGCCAAATATTTTGCTGCTTATCTGAATGTTTTTATTTAAATTATTGGGTGTGATAAAAATCACAGCTTCCTGCAGAAGGCGGAGAAAGCACTGCAGCCCAGTCTCGGGGCCTCATTCTGAGGAGCACTTGGGCACACGCTTAATGATATCCACTTGCTGAACTCCCAACCGTTCTCCGTGTGATATGTGCACGTTGCAGTTTCTTTTGTAAATCACAGAACAACATTTTTCTGATTTAAGGTCATTATATTTACATACTATGTATATTTCTGAACGACTACAAAATAAAGAAACCTGTATAACTGATAGGTAAACTCCAGATCAGTCTTTAAATATAAAAGTAGGGGGAAGATAAAAAGGTAGATCCTTTAAATAGGATTCTGCAGCCTGATTGCAAAGCTTCAAAGAACACGTTGCAGAAAACAAGGGATCACAGCCAACGAAGAACGACCCGCACATGTCCGCCTGAGACGGGAAAGATGACAGCATCTAAAGGGCCACTGAGCCCTTTAGACCGAACAACGGGATGCAGACAGAAAAGACAGGAGTAGAGGAAGACTCGAAGTCAGGAGAAAAAAAAAAACACAAAAACATAAGAAGAGAACAAGGCCAAAAAAACGTAGGCATGGAAATTGAAGTGGAAGTGCGCAGGAAACTTTGAAAAAATGGGACAAACAGACGTGCAGCCCCAGAGCAGCCCTGAGTCGGAGCAGCGGTGTGGGCTTCTGAGCAGCTACGCAGGTGGGATGGCTGCTGGCAACCTCGGAGAGCCTTCGGCACGCACAGCCCTCGCCTCAAAGTTGGAAACACCGCAGAACGTATCCCAGTGAGGGATACTTCACCCAGTCTCTTGCACAATGGCTGAACAAAACACAGTCCCAGTTTTCTTCTGTTGGTTTCGGGCCACCCATCTCCGAGCATGAGCACAGCCCTCCCAAAGAGCATCAAGAGAGGAGCGCGATGGGACAGGACCGAGATCTGTGCTAACGAAGGGTTTCCATCACCTTGATCACATCCCGTGAGCTCCCAGTGCTGCCGTTCTTCATGCGCGCAGACGCGCTGGTATTTCCTCTCTGCCACTCTTCATCTCCTTTACCCATTTTCATTAGGATTCCTTTGAAGCTGGAACCGTTAGGGTTGTTTGCATTACATTAATAATGAGGCCTCTTCTCTACGGGGACTCTTGGTATTACAGCAATATAAATAGTGTAATAATTGAAATCAGAGAATTTAAATTTCGGTAACGTGTCATGAGAGAGGAGGAAAATCAGGCCATCTGTATTACCAGAAACTTTTATTAGACCCAGGTTTCCTATCTTTTGTGTCACATGCACCTACTTACTCACCTACTTATTTTCCATTTCAGTGAAATTCTGTCCAGTTCTTCCTGACGCAAGCTCGTCTCCCACTTTTTCACATGAAAAACTTCACAGTCGTGTCTATCTGTTTTCTATTTTCAGCCTGCACTGAAGGTAACGCTTTTGATCCACAAGCAGCCCACAAGCTGATGTAGCGTCCTTTATTTTTTTTTTTTCAGTAATATAGAAGATACTTTGTACAAATAGTGAGATGAGTAGTTGTTATCTGTCAGTGACTTTTGTGTGGCTTAAATATTTTTCATCTGTCATGTACTTCTACCACTTTTCTTCTTTGCACAGTATCATACAAGGACTCATTGGCAAAGAAGTTAAGAATAGTTTTCATCTTTTTGCTTCGTATTTCAGTTCCTCTGAGCTCTGTGCAAAATAAATTCCAAGCATGCGATGTGACATCTTTGTTTAACGGCCGCTGCCTCCTGAAGAAGCCCAGACACACTTCAGATTTGCATTTACTTAAAATTAATAAGCTTTTAGTCAGGCAGTGCAATTTATTTGTCCTTACGATAAACAAAAAGGTGAACACTCTCAATACTGAGCGGGTCTGGATAAAATGGGCTGAAGCGTAAGGAAAAAAATAAAATCCCCCCAACTGCACACCCCTGTCATCCTGCTAGTGCTGGTTTTGCTCCCCGCTCCCCTGGCACGGCACGGCCCCAGCACCCGCTGCAGCCCAG